AAATTAGATCGAAATTAACTTATATTAATTTTATTTATTGTTATTTGAAAAGGGTGAGTTGGTTGGAAGGAAAAGAAATGATTCAGAGCATAAATCTTTGCACAAAATGAAATGAGTCTAATGAATGAAGTTATTTAAAATTTATTATACACAATAGTTCTTCTTCCAATTCTGAAGAAATTCTGTTAAAGATTTATTACATGAACCATTATAGATCAAGTTTATATCATGTAATTTTTCTTACCTGATAAATGCATTTTAAAGCTTTATACCATTAGTGCAGTAAATAAATTCTCTTGTTTTGATGACAATAATGTTTCAAATTGCCAACGTAAAAGAAAAATGACAAAAACAAATTTTTCCTAAATTTGGTGTTTTTTTTTAGTATTTTTTGTATAAAAATGGAAAAACAAAAAAATATTCTTATTAGTTTTAATGTGTCCATTTGTAACAGAACTTAAAAATTTTGCACCTATTTATGAAAATTAATATTTGTGCGAAACTTATCCCTCCAGAATTCTGACGGTTTGAATCTTGTACGAAACAAAACTGCATTGAAATGTCAACCTTGCATAAAGAATACCAAACATGTATAACGCACACAAAATGAAATGAAATGAATAGTTTTTTTTTTTCAAAATCAGAAAAATTTTTTCGGGACTTACGTAATAATTAATGCATAGCATTTACTTTGGGCTGCTCACATTCTCTCTCCAATAAATAAATTTTATTTTTATTATAGAGAAGAGGTATGAGAAGTATAGAAGACGAGGTAGTGAGAAGTATACTCAATGTAAACACGTGCAAACCGGACGACTTTGTGACTGTTCTAATACTCCTTCTCTTCTACTACAGGTATGCAACAAAATTATATGGTATTAGGAGAATAATTTAAATATAAAATTTTTTTTTAAGAAAAATATTTATAAAAGGGAAATGTGCTATTTTAATATCCATTAGTTTTATTCAAGTTTATTTGAAACGAGAATAGCTAGAGTTGACCGTGTCAACTTTGTGATACTCGTACAAATGATTTTAAGAAATGTATTTTACTGCCCAACTGTTTTACACGACTTTGTATTTTAGATCTATATTGCTATTTTATAGATACATACATATATGTATGTATAACAGTAACCACATCAACTCATACTATCTCAAAGATTTTTACTAAACATAAAGGTCATATTACCATGTCGTTTATTGGCAGTTACCACCACGAGCCTAGAATTTTCAACCAGTTTTATCGAATATAACAGCGCCAATAATATATTTGTTTGCGTGAAATTTGAAATTTTTATATTACACCTTCAATAAATCATTTTTGAAAATTTGGTGAGCTTAGCTCATTTAGTTTTTTGAGTTATGGTTGGGATAGACGGACGGACGGTCAAACATCATTAAATCAATTCAGAATTCAACGTTGTCCGTATATATTCTATAAAACGTATCTATATTCCTATGTCTATTATTATTTTTTAGCTTTAAAAGCGGTAAGGAAAATTTATAATACCTTTCTAACATAATTTCTTACTGGTACAATAAGGATATAATGAGTATACATACATACATGTAATATAATTCCTTTCATTTCACATTATTTTGTATTTTTTCACATTGTGCAATGTACTGAGATAATTTTGTTTTTGTACATTGAAAACATAAAAGAAAGAAATATTTTATATTTTCTTTAAAGCATTTTGTAATCCAAGATTTCATCAATATAGTACACATGCTATCTGATATTTTGTATAAAAAAATAGAAGATACAGAAATGTTATTAGTGTGCAATAAGAATAAATGATTTTCTTTGTATAGTGTGGGGACAAGAGTGTACGTTTATATTTTACATAATGTAGAAAAAATATTTGCAAGGAAGATGATAAGGCAAAATAAATGGACAATATTGTTTGTATAAAGGACAATGTCAATGATGCGATGACAACAAATGAACGTGAAAATTATGTTGTTAAGTGTAGTACCTACATGTACCTTTAATAATGGAATGTTATAAACTTTAATGAAAGGGTGATATTTCTTATCAAATTCAAATGATTAAGTACAAAAAAGGCTATTGTATACACTTATTCACTTGGAGTGTGTAACAAATTGCATATTTTTTATTAAGAAATGAAAAATTAATGTAATAAATTTTAGTGATTTCAATTTTGGAAAAATTCTCAATTTTTAGTTCTCAAGTATATTGTATTCTAAATATTTTTAAAACTTAGCTTTTCCTAAGTATGCTAATTAACATTTTTTACTCGTATAGTATATTTTATTGTAAAAGAAATCTTTTCTATTCTTATTCTAATTTGGGTAATTTTACGAATAGAATTTTTGAATTTTGCTCACAAATTGAGTACTTTATATTAATTTTGACCCGAAGAGCATAACTAACAAAAACTTACAAGAAATTGGTAAATACATTTTGTTCCTGGATATTTTATTGATCGTAAATATTTATTAGTTTTTATTTTTACGCGCTTGCGAAAGTGAAATTGTGGCAACTTCATGAGAAATATGAAAAAATACATACAAATTTTTTTAATTTTTATATTGATCCCACCCAAAATTTTTTAATAAATTGGAGCAAACCAATAAATTAATAGTAAAGTGGCATTTTCTCCTTGAACAAGTTAAAATACAATTTTAAAAAACAATCTACTGCTTTATTTAATAAAGTTGGGTCAAACCAATGGTTTGTATTGTAGCACTTTTCCCTTCAACAAGTGAAAATTCTGCTTTTAAATACAGTCTATGTATACCTATCACACTATTAAAATTATTTTCATTCATATACAAAACTATTTCTAGGGTTGCATATATTTAGGATGATGCATATATGCAGTCTTTGAAATAAAGCAAAAATTAATATAAAAAGGGGTTAACATAATGTTCGATTTTAAGGGTTAGTTGTGTGAGTTAAGAAAAATAATTATATTTTTTAATTTCATGGAATTTGCCGTTAACTTTTTGCGTTTATAGAAATTTGAAAAAGCTTGCGGTTTCGGAAATATAAGGTGTCAAAAATTCAAATTTTACGAATTTCAAGAGGTGATAACTTGAGAGGGGGTGGAGATGGAAAAAAATTTTCTTCTAACGAAATGAACTATTTGTTAATGTCTAAAAGCTCCTAAAATTTCAAGCTTCTACAGGCTGGGGTCTAGAAGAAAAACGACATCAAAAATTTGGAAAAAAAGGACTTTAGATAACGGTAAATTTGAACGGCCATTTTGTTTTTCTAAATTTTAACTATAGCATACCGCGCAAGGGGAAGCAAGCCACTGTCTTTCTGAGTTTGCAAAATTTCAAAAATGCTTATGGTGTCATTGCAACAAATATTTAAAAAAGGCCATTTCTAGGGTTTTGGAGGGGTATAACTTCTAGAGGGGGGGAGATAGGTAAAAATTTTGTTCTACGGAAATAAGTTTCTAGTAAAGATCTATCTACATACAAAATTTCAGCTTTCTATCTTCAAGGGTGTAGAAGTTTTGTAAACAAAAAATGTGTCCACGGACGGACGGACGGACGGACAGAGTGAAACTAATAAGCACTTTTTTCAAAAAATTTTTTGCAAAAGTGCTAAAAAATTTTCATTCATGTATTGAAATATATAAAATTATTGCATACATTTGGGATGAACAGAAAAAAAAAATTATTCGAACATAATAATTGAATTGGTCAGTTAAATAAAGTTGTTAAGATATTATATCACTATATTGTTTTAAGGCATCACATATATTTTTGCTTAACTCAAAAATATAAGATGCTGACAATTCAAATCTTACGAACTTTTAATTTCAACAGCGGCCATTTCGTGGTAGAAGATAATAATCATTACTTTTCTGCGTTTTTAAAATTCAAAAAAATTCCATACAATGAATGGTTCAGAGATTTCAATTTTAGAACTTTGGAGGGCTATAACTTTCAGAGGGAGCCAGATCGGTAAAAATTTTCACCCAGAAAAATATGGTTATAAGTAAAGATCTCATTCTATTTTAAAGTGTTTACTTTCTATTTTAAAGTGTTTACAAATTTTGTAAGCCGGCAAACAAATTTTGTGGACGGACGAAACAACAGAGTAAAATTCTTAGTTAGTACTTTTTTCAAAATTTTTTTTTGGAACATTGCAAAAAATTAAAAATACAAAATGTATATAAAATTTTCGACTAGTATATGGGGTGACAAATTCATTGGACACCCTATATAGTTGGGAAAAAAAATATTTTGTAAATGCATGATGTTATTACAGTATATACGATGTACCTACATTTATGTGTAAGAAATGATAATATCCGGTTTTTAGGTGATGACATTGGCAGGTTCATTTATAATACAAAATGTATACATGTTAAATATTTGTGTACTCTTTATATAAATAATTATATATATGTGATAATTTTGTTATATTTTTGTTATTTATCGAACATTTTGTGTATTATAATGTGTGATCATAATAAGATATATTTATTTATATAACACATATATGTATGTGTGTACATTATATTCAATATAAAATTATAAATAATGAATGTTAGAAAATATTTTACCTTTAAATCATGAAAAATCTGATAAAATAAAAGGAAGTTGAACGTATTCTTAATATATGTGTGGGTGTATGAGTTTATTTGTAAGGTTCGATGAATGAGAATAAAGTTTATTGGATTTTGATGAAATAAATGTGGTATTCGGACCAACCATTCAGTTATTAATAATTTGTGGATGTGTGGGTGTATGTATGTTTTATAAAATTCGGAACAAATTTCTTATTTACTATTTTTTATTTAGTTATTTTTTTTTTTTTTTTGTAAAATTCAAATATCTTGAATATTTTGATAATTCAATTTGAATTGGTTAATTGAAATATTTAAATATTTCAATTAATTTAACAATTATTTTACATAATTTACTTTTGATTGTCATTGTTAATTAGATAATAAATGTAAATTGTTTATAATTAATTGATTTATAATTGTTTTTTTTTTATGTTTATTTCAGGAAAATGCTATTTTTAAATTAATTGATTATGGAAACGGATAATTGTAAGTTTTACAGATTATTTTGTATACTTATCTGATTTTTAAATGTTATTAAATTAAATTATTTTTTTGTAATATTGTTAATTAAAACATAATAATATATTAATTTATTTTTATATTAACTAAATAACGATTTATAGTACATAATATACGAGATTATGGTATTTCACATTCATCGCACGATTTGAAAAAATGTTGCTGTACTCTTAAGCTAGATTCATTGGTTCGCCGTTTTTGAGCTGAGCTATTTGTATTCGAACTATTTTTGCTCTTGATTGTTCATTGGTTCGTCTGAAAAAAGCTGATTGTTTTTTTTATTATGATGCATTTATTACTTTTTTGACCTCCGCACTAAAGTTAAAGTTGATTGAACTTTTTGACAGAGAGAAAAAACTGTTCTAAAAATGAAGAGAATGTCAAAAATTCAAATTTTCATACAAAATACATCAGCTGGTCGCGAAAGCTTTATGTACCCAATTGAATTCATAATTTTCATTTTAAAATTTAATTTTTTATCTTATATCACAAAAATTTTATTCTTCAAATATTTCCAAGGTTTAATGTCTTAGCTCTCAGTTTTAAGTCTAAGGCTTAATAACTTGCCTCACCTCCCTGCCGTTCTTAAAAAATTACTTTAAATTGGCATTAATTAGTTCTTAACAAAAGAGAGAATAAGAAAAAAAATTTTATTCCCACCTTTTAGAGTATTCAGATTACCTACTGTAGGATAAATATATTTTTAATAATTTTAATGTTTTGGACCTGTTTCCTTCGAACAAACAATGGGAATACAGAAAAGTGCAATTTTTTGTTTCGGAGAATTTGCAAATCTATTTAGAGTATTCTTTGTTGGAGGCAGGCTTTGCTCTAATCAGTTCTTTCACGGCAATGAAGAACATGTAATAAGCAATGCACATTGCACATAATAAACACTTTCCTGTAGCTTTATCATTTTTCATACAAGATTAGTCATTGAATTAATGCTGAAATTAAACCTTCAGCTTTTTGTTTTGGAATGTTTCTATACATATAAGTACATGTGATCAAATTTATTTCGCTCTAAATAGAGAGCAAAAAAATTTGGAAAATACGTAATGGAAAAAATTGGAAAAATTTTTATTTTTTAAAATTTACTTTGCTTTTTTAAGTTTTCAATAGCGCCCTCTGTTTTTGGGCGCTAATTGCAAATGCTTACTTGACGTATGTAGTAAATCCGGTGTTGGTTTGCGGTCGCAAATAATCAAAATGAGTTATTATTTTATATGTACATACTAAAGGGATGGGTACGATATTTGTTTTTGTCGCGATTTTTGTTTCAACACTTATTGTGCTGTATTGTCGATAGCTAACTTAATATTAAGAATAAACGTAACTATTTAAGCACTAGTCAACGTCTTGAAATATTAACTTGCATAATATCAATATGCTTGACGTTTTATACAATAAAATTAATTTTTTTAGCTTCTTTACGAATACGAAGGAGGTGGAAATACGAATATATTTTTTTCTAATTTTTAAATTTGACTTCATACCCTGTGTTTCAAACATTAATAACACTATGTATACAAACTTAGAATTTATGACAATTAATCTTTAAGACATGTTTTTCTTTCTTAAAATCAACCCCAGTGTTTAGAAGTGCACGTAAACACGTTATTATTTTTAACTTTATTTTTAATTATGTTAAATTCTTCCTTAATTTCTTCGTTCTCATTAATCATAATAAACATGAAAAATATTTTTAAGAAAGAATGACGGAGAAAAATGTAACATAGCAAAAAAAAAAGGAAAATTAAAAAAAAAATTTCTATCATAAATTTTTATGCTTTGAAATTTGAACGTCTGCAACACGTCCTAACTTTTTAATTCTTCCGTTTTTTCTTTTTGACTTTTGTCTTTTTCTATTTTTTCGAAATTTCTAAGGAGAGAAAGAGTTTTGCTTTTTTTGTTTTTGTGCTTTTGTCTTGTTTTGTATAATTGTAGTTGTTGAAGTTGTTAAGGTTGTTGATGTTTTTGCTTATCACCTGGTGGTCAAGTAATTAACTTTTGAGAGAAAAAGTTTTAGAAAGATAATTCTTCATTTAGGTTTTGTTTTTCTCTCTTTTCTTCTTTTATTTTCAATTTTATCGTTAATTAGAAATTTTTTCTTTTACTGTTTTTGAAAAATTAAACGATATTTTTCCGTCATTTCAATATAGTTGAACTAAATTTGTATACAAGGCATACAGTATGGACATTATGCACGTAAATGTAAAATTTTTTATACATATAAATTGTAGTAATGTAAGCTTGAGACTCGCAAACGATCTCTGTAGGAGCTGCTTCGACGAGGGAGAGGAGGAAACGGTGACCCACCTCCTGTGCTCATGTCTGGCACTGGCGAACTCCAGGCAGAGATTTCTTGGGTTTTACTTCTTCGGTTGCGCTGCGGATCTAGCGGATATAAGTATTAGGGATCTGGGCTGATTTTTGAGGAGTTCCGGTTGTTTCGGATGAGGGGCGGAAAAGAAGAGAGCCTATGTGTACCCTTAGGGAGACCGCGTTAAGCTAAGCTAACCTAGGCTTGAAACTTCCTTTATCCTTTAGTATGCAATTATTCGTGTACAATTTAAAATTACTAAGAATGCATTAAAATATTTTGAATAATAAGTTTATGTTAAAACTTAAAAAACTTTCGCTACAACAAAATTATTCTAAGAGCATTGCTTAACAACTAAAGTGTGTCGGATTATTCTAAACCTTATAGTTTTGTAAACGATTTCCAATTGCGATAAATCATAACCATTATAATAAAATGATTTATGAGGAAAAATATATTTTGATTAAATAAAGTTTTTTCAAAGAAAATCAGGATAACATAAATATTTTTGAAATATTATTGAATATTTCTATTTTTATTAAGGAAAATGATTATTGATTAGAAAATATCTTATGGTCTAATGTAATTTATTATATTTTTCAATAATTTGAAAGTTTCTTAAAATTATGAGCATGGAATTGTAATTTGATATCTAAAATCCATATACTTTTGTTAAAAATAATAGCCATATTGAGAGTTTCATATGATAATTAAAATTATACTGTTACACCGCATCTTCCTGAAGTTAAAAAACATTGAAGTTGTTCTTCGTAAATTTGAAACTTTAAATGACCTAATTATAGAGCAAGTTTGATATTATAGCCTGAATTAAGGTTATAAAAAACTGAATTTCCTAAATTTGTTTAATATTTTTTACCCAAAAAGACGAATTTTTTTAAAAGAAATTACTTTTGAAATTCATTTTGGTATAGAAACATCGTGTATGACAACTTTTTCAAAATAATTTACCCTCAAAAATCTATGATGATCAAATTTTTTTTTTTTAATTTATATTTCAGTGAACACATTTAAATTAGTCATGATTGTGGTAGAATTTTTTTTCTCTTCTCTATTAAATCATTAACAAAGATTTCATAAAATTCACCGGAAATTATTGTGATGGATTTGCTTACTGTTTATGATTAGAGAAGAAAAACCAAAATATTTTAAAGGATTTATTTTGAAAAAAAAACTTGTTGAATATTTTACGATATAAAATGGGGATAATAAAACCGCTAATGAATATTTTATAAGAATTTTAAAAAAATTCAAAATAAAAATATTTTTCAACCTCAGATGTTGTTTTCTTCTTTTTTTCCCTAACTTTATTTTTTTTTTGTCAGGATAAAGGAAATTTGAATTGTTATAAAATTCATTTTTGATAAAAATTGTGAATTTTATTAATTGAATCTGAAATTCAGTCGGTTGTCTGAGTCTTTTGTGCCTTATCAAATTAGATAATTTAATTATGGATGGTTGAATGGAAATTTTTTAAATAACAATTATGACTTCATATAGAGTTTTTATTGAAATTAATAATACCTATTAGAAAAATTATTTCAATTTGCTGAAAATTTGTAATAAGACTAAATTTAATAATTAGTTATTTTCTGTAACGGGCTAGAAATATTGCCGATAATTCGTACAAAATAAATAGATTTTCTCAATCAACACAAATGTGAATCGTAAGTTATGCGAAGAAATTTCATGAATTTTGATTTTATTTTAAAACAGTTGTTTAAGCCATTTTGATAATATATTTGTATGGCTCCGTAATTTTAAAAGATAAAAAGATTTAATTTTATAAGACGCGCCTAAGAGATTAGGATTTTTATTCTAAATTTATAAATTTAAAAGCAGGGAATTCTTAAAAACTAAATAGATTAGAATACGAATTATGCGTATTAGAGGAATTTCATGTTTTGCAGAAATTTAAAGTTTGTTGGCTTAGAATTTAACTGCAAATGTATTCTAATTTTGTATTAGATCTGTTGTTGAAATAGATTTCATTATCTAGTCACTAATTTCTAAATTCCAATTTTCTAAAAAATTGTCTGTAGAATAATTAATTGTAGTTCTGCAGAATATTTTTTTTCTAGGAATTTCATTTTCTCTTAATTTTGTCTGCAACACCGAAAAAAAAGTGCAAAAATTGAAATTTTAAATTTGAATCCTTAAATCTACAAATTTAAACTGTTCACTGTGGTTTTTTCCTTTCGTATTGGACTATTGTCAATTAATGTTCCGTTGTTTGAATTTATTATTTTTTTTTTTTTTGGAATTATTAAATTCGAAAATTTTCCAAAAATTATTTTCTGATTCATTTGAATTAATAATGTAGAGTAAATGACTGATCCTCCTTATTTCAAAAGAATTTTTAATCATAACAAAAAAATCATAACAACAAAATATAAAAATGAAAAAGTTATTAAACGATTATGTAATTTAAGGAAAGGCTTTGGGAAAGTTAAATAAATTTTTCTTTTTCGGAAGCATGCCAAACTTTAAGTATTAAAACTCTGTTTTTTTTTGTAAAATCAAACAGAAGCGGAAATACAAACAAAAATTTTGTAACTTTAATATTTTTTTGATATGTTTATCTCTTGTAATGAATTTGTTTGAGTTCAAAATAGCTTTAAACAAT